CTTCGATAAAAATTCAAAAGGTCATTTCTCGAATCGGACGTAATAAAAGTATCAAGAAAATTTGAACGGTAAATTTGGTTTGACTTGCAACTTTGATCCTTTTAGATTTTTAACTTTACGCAAGTGCTGATTGACGTTACTTATCACGAGTTACGTATTTGGTGTTTATATACACATTTCCTTATAGTTTTATTCATACATTTTTAAGAAAATTGAAGAATTTGAAGTTCATTGCCACGGCTATTCTTCCAAATTAGTACTTTAATAACCAGGAAAAAATAGAACACGAACCAATTGAACCAGTTTCTGTCCGCTGAGAAATATTTAAACTATCGTTTCACGTTAATTAAAGAATGTTGACTTTTAAACATTTATTAAATTGTTTTTTATCTTATACGTTTATTCTTTGTTTGATCTTGACAAATTAATTTTAACTGTAGTAGGACTTCTTAGGGCATCGACGTCACATTTTTCACATCTGTTTTATTACCTCGTGGTATTTATTACTTATAATTATAAATGATGCTTCTCTAATTTTAAGGTCTTTTTAGATTAGGTATTAATAATTTTTTAAATGTAGTAGTTTTGGTTACGGTATAATTTAAAATTTTTTAAACAATAGCACACAATATTGTGTTTGTTGTTTTACTTATTGTTTCATTTGTATTATTGTAATTCATACGGTGATTAAAGTCAGACTTTAGATTTTTTTAGATATTTTAGTACCTTTATGCAAGAAAAAAATTAAATGTACTTTTCCGCGCCATGTACGAAAAATAAAATGAATAAAATCGCGTTGAAATGTTTTAATGGCTAATAAAGGAAATAAGTTTAATAGCTCGATAAGGATTGCTTATTTGTACGATTAAAATTTAGTTTAAACGAATTGATGGTAATTTTTAATTACACGGTATAGTTTTTTAAAATACTTCGTGATTTCATATTAACGTAATAAAAGATATTCTATACAATATTGTATTAAGTATTGCTTAAATTTAAACACACGGTATGTTTAAATTTTAACCTTGAGTGGTTGGAGGATTGCTAACTTCATTATCTCAGAATGGCCGGTGTCATAATCGGTAAATTTTGTGTTTTCCACTCTGTATTTGCTCACAGAAGATAAGTAATTTCGAAATATGTACGTTATTTTAAGAATCATTAGAAAAATTACGAAAGCATTTTAATTAATATTTATATCAAACAAACTTTAAAGAGTTTTACATTGATGAAATATGAACTAAGGGTGCAATGTGCCATTTTCTTATGTTTGTACATTTGGATGTACAGTTAAGCTACAAAGTACTAAATACAATTTTTTACAATAATTCACGAATCTACAATCATGTAGTAGTATATATTTTGTATAAATCTTGTTTGAATATTTTTCTTTTATAATTATCTGAAATTTTAAACACACAGTATATCTAAAATTTATACTTCAAACATTCATGTGTTACTGAAAGATTGCTAACTTCACTATCGTTGAATACGCTGTTTTTTCCGCTTTTATTATTAGAGCTCGGTTGTGTCGGTTGAAGTTTCGTTATGAAAATGTCGGAAGACAACGATAATGTTGATCGTGTTGATTCAGAAAATTGTAAACCAGATAAAATGTTTACTTTAAAAAAGTGGAATGCCGTTGCAATGTGGAGTTGGGATGTTGAATGTGATACTTGTGCCATTTGCCGAGTTCAAGTAATGGGTAAGTGGATAGAGGTTATGTTTTTAAAATTTTAACGCTTTCAATTTTAAAGTATTAATTAAATAAATTAAATATTTAGTTGTTTATGTGACAGGCTATTTTATCTTATATTGAGCATGATTATGACCGGTGTCATAGTCAGTAATTTTGTGTTACTCATTTTCTGTTTTCAGTATATAATTTATTGTGAAATATATACATTTTACATATTCAGGCACAGTATTTTGTGTCACCAGAAATATCACGATAGCACTTTATTAATAA